TGTGTGTGTGTGTGTGTGTGTTTCCGTGTGTTCCTACTCCCTTCCTCTTTTTATAACCGAACCCCTATTTCCTTCTCAATCAAACAGTACATGCTCTTCAACTTCACATACATTATCTCTATATTATACATGTATATCCTTCTTGTCATGTGTCTTGTAGTCGCCACCGACGCCACCCTTCCACGACTCACGGTATTAGTAGCGTAAGCCTATTACTTTTTTCCACTGATGAAACAACCATGAAGAATTAATATTCCAGTTGCAACAAAGTGAGGACTTTTGCTCCTCAGTTATTACTTTTTAAAACTTTTTCATTCCTCCGGTATCCTTAGCATGTCGAGGGGAGGTGCAGGTTTCGGTCCTGTGCAAGATGCGTAGCGTCTGTGATAGATATGTTCTGTTGTTTTAGGACCTTTTTAACCCCATCCAGTCAAATCTTTCTTGGTCTTCCTCTTGATTTAAAGCCGGACTCTCGGGTGTTGTAAGCTCTAGCCGCCAGTTGTTTCTGGGACATTCTAGTTAGATGTACGAACCATTTGACTCTTTTACACTCTAATAAATTTACTACTGGTAGACGCATGGTCTCGTTCCGTATGCGTTCTCCTCTGGTGACGTTGATAGTTTTGCGGAGTCACCTCATTTTGTATGCATTGATTTTTCTTTCTTGTGCCTTCTTTAGAGACCGTGTTTGGCACTGGTATGTTAAGGTTGGGATATGAAGATTCTATTGATGAGCTGGGGTTTCACTTCAGTTGGGATGTTCTAATTGTGACTGAGCAGGGGTGCAAACTGGCAGGTCACTGCATTTGCCTTCATAGTTCTTGTATCTATTTCTTTGTCCACACGCCCATTTTTTTTTCTAATTTTCTTTTTTTGGCTCAACACCTTTTATATCCATTTAAAAACACGTTTTTTAAGTGGATTTTTACTGAAAAACATTGATTAAAGGCACAAATAAGGAAATATTCAATTTCCAAGGACACTAAGGCTATGGAAGTTCCAAAGTTTTGGCGACTGTTTTCTCGCTAATTTCACCTTGGCCTCCTTCAATCGCAAATATTTCGACTTCTATTCAACATAGACGGATATTTCTTTCACCAAAAGCAAGGCAAATGGGCAGACTTTAAGATGATACCTATGGTTACGACTCAACTATCATTAATAGATTTTATGAGGTTTGAAGCTAAATTTGGAAGTTTGGTGGCACGAAATGCA